AGCTAGACTCGATCAGACCCTTATCCTTCAAGTGTCAAAGCTGCTTTTATCTGCTACATGTTCATGTTTAGATAAATTTATCCATATTCAACATTTTTATAGCATATCTTTCACTCTTTGTTCCTTTAATAGTTGTTGTTCTTTGTAATACTCTGCCATTTTCTTAAGACTAAAATGCACCAGAAAAGGCTTACATGTGATATATAAACATTTCAGTGGTTTTACAACATGGTGTTTGCCAGAATAGGTATTTTGGAGCACCGATGTAGTTAAGTTACAAGTTACTTGGAGGTGTGTGTAAAATCAGTTCCCTTAACAGGCTAAGCTACAGCGGCAAAAGGAGCTTTTGGTAATATGATTTTAACTCTGTTACATTTTTGGTCAGCTTGATTAAGTTGATTAGTGTGACTACTATAACATGTCTGCCAAGTAAGACTGTGAATTCCTACTTCACGGATTGAGTGCTTCATGGAAAATGAGGGGACATATAAAGAAAATCTTTGAAAGTAAAACTTAACTTGAAAGTCTTCTTTTAGTACTGACAAAGATGTTATGCATATTATTCAGAATTGCATATATTTAAAAATTATGTCTCCTACTGAATATCTCTTTCTATGAGCCCTGCATAATAAATTTTCATGGGGAGGGTGGAAGGTTCTTGTTTTGGATAGGTGTCATTAAAGGATTTAATGCAGTTTTTCGCAACATTAATTCAAATTGGCCCAGATCCAAATGCTGATACATGGATTGCAAAGTTCAAGAAAATGCAATGATTTATTGCAGTATATTAAGATCTGAAGAAATGTCTAATGGTGTATCACAAGGAAAAGGATAAGCTTTTCTTACAGGGTAAGCATGAGCATATAGAAGGTTAGTGTTGAGCAACTGATACTCAAACCTACAGGTTTGACTGGTAGCCACCTGTAACATCCATTTCCTTACCTGCTGTGTTACAGTCATCTCAGTGCTAAAAAAGAGAAGTGTGACTCCCTCTGTCTTGAAGTCTGTTCGTGCGTCTGTGCTCTAAGGATACCAGGCCCATTGCTGATACTACACAGCTACGTAACCATGGTGCAGACTTCTGAGGAAATTGCTGAGTTGTGGAAAAAAAAAAAAAAAAAGCTGTCAGAATGTCTGAAGAGGAGATTCGTGTGCGATGAGAAAGCTGAAATTGCAGAGAGGGCAAGACAAGGAAAAGCACCGCCATGGGCAAGTATAAAGTCGTAAAGAAAACCTAGAGTGGCAGAAGGTGGCATGACTGCGGCTGTGTTCCGGGGACCTGCAGGAACTGCCCCTTCTCCTCCTGACTCTTGCCTGCCTGGCTAGCAAAGACTCTGCGTTTGTCTTCTAAGAAGTGGTGAGCATATTAATGCCTAGCCTAGCAGTGATCATTTGTGTATGATAACCAATAAATAATTTTTTATACTTCTAAGCTGGGTAGTGATTCTGCTTGCAGAATCACTTTGTGCTTGGCTAAGGTGTCCAAACAGGGACCCAAAGAGGAATTATTACAGGAGATAGAAGTTCACAGATAAAGCAAATGTAGGAGTTGTCCCCCCCAAAAATGATCTCAAAAAACCAGAGGTGCTTCCGAATAAAAACCACCTGGTTTTGGAGGGAGACCGGTGACTTCATAGGGTGGAAGGAGGGTGGGGAATTAGGGTGGAAAGCATCTCTCTCCCACAAAGGATCTGTGGGAGAAAGGAGGTGTTCACGAAGCTGAAGATGTGTTGAGGCTCATGAGAGACAACAACAGGAGCAGAAGGCTTTCAGAAGGCAAAGTTCAACAGCTGGCTTGGAAACCAGCTGTGACACTAATGGCCAATTTTATGAAATTAGATTTAGCAACCTCTAGCAAAGGCCTGCTCCAAATGATACAGATGTAATATTGAAACATTTAATAAAAAGGGAAAAATAGAAACAAAATGAAGTTCACCTTGTTGAATCGCAAGGTGAAAATAGATTCAGTGCATCACTGAGTCATGACTGAAATCTTTCTAAGGTGTACTTCCAAAGAGAATTTTCGGAAAAAAGTATTTCTTGAAAGTGTATATTTTGTGAATGATACCTACAAGAAGAAGAAAAAAAAAAGACTTAGTTTGACTATAAATAAATGTGATGGTGAAATGCAGTTCGGGGCATCATATGGGAAGATAATTTCTCAGAGCAGGGAGTGCAGTTACTTTTTTCATTAATTGCTTTTTCCAGTTCCTGTCCTGCTTCTTTTCAAGTCTGTGGGAAACAAATATAAAACACTGGGACTACATCTTTGCTAGTGAAATTTTTAGTAACTGGTAACATTACTAAAGCCAAGCCAACAGTTAAGGAACAGTCCACAATTAAGAGTGGGCTTGAATTTTATAGAATAGGTACAGCTTGCATTAATTGTTGAGTTTGTCATTGCAAATAAAAAGAGTCAAATTCCAGAGAAAGCAAAAAAGAGAAAGATTTTTCATTACTGGGAAGAAGAGCTAGATGCATGTACTTGAAGTTAAAAGTTCCAGAATGCTATACCACATTTGATCCAAAAGTGTGAAGAGGAAAGGAAAATGGTGATACATCAATGTTAGAAAAACACCCAAAAGTGACGAAGAAGAAGAAAGTGCATTTAAGTGCTGCTCAAGAAAACAAGTAACTTTAGTTACAATAGTAATTACCATGGCATTGTATTATTAATTACTACTTACCACTTTCTGACTATTCTTTTGACTATAAGCTGAACAATTGCAGTGTCTCCCAGTATTTGAAGCCAAGTCTCTCAACAGTATGTAAGCAGAAGAAAACCATCGTTATCAGCTGGGTAGACATTGCATCATTAGTCTGAATACAGTTTAGAAATCTAAAGTCTCTGTTATCTGTTAAATCTAAACCTTCAACTGGTGAATAAACCTTTATTATAGAATTCTGACTAAAGGGGGAAAACCCCTAAACTGCCTAATTTAAATTGTCCTTAGAAATGCTCAAGAAGACTTTTATTTGTCATATTCTATGAAATAAGAACCTATCTTAAGCTGCAATTCTGAAAGCTGGAACATAGGTTACCAGAAGTCCACTGAACGATGGACTTTCCAGATGCAGCCCTGTAATATGGCCTCTCAGATGGAATCAGAACAAAAAACCGTATATATATATGAAGTATGAGACAGTTGTCCTATTTAGTTGATTTAAGCCAAGAAAATCATTCAACGCAGAAGGCTAACAGTCTCAGCCTTTCTGAACAAAAAGGTCCTATACGATACAGTAAGTATGTAGGTAGTACGTAGTAGTTGGTTAGATATGCTGAACCTTACCAGAGGTTCAGCCCAAGCCTGAAGGAATTTGTTTGAGTTTAGTCATATCCAACATTGCATACCAGCTTTATATGATATAACTTGCAGGCTGACCAGCCTGTAAGTTGATTTCAGCGGCAAGTGAGGCTATGGTTGGCATAGTTAATTAAAACATAAATATTGTGAAGACTAACTGACATTGTGTGATTTAAGGCTCCTTAAATAAAATGGAACAATATTGTTTATGAGGAACACGTTAACACTAGTCTTTCATGGTTGTATTGATTAAAGTTTGTCTTTATCTTGATTTCTGTCTGTTCCTTTCTGCCCCCAGTTTATCACTTGGCTGCCACTTAAATTTACTTTCATCAAGCTGAGTAGGCAAGGTTCTCTTCATTTTTATTCCCTTGCACCTGTCTGTGCCTTATGTGGAGCATTCTTTTAATTAAAAGTGAGTAACAGCAGCTAACAAAAAGACTAAGGGTGAGATTTCCCCTGGGTTGACTCACAGCTGCTATCTAGTCCCAAGGTGACATGTTCAAGTTATTTCTAAATATCGAAGAGAAGATAGTTCTTCCTCAGTTTCCAAAGGCCTCATCTATCTAGATTGAACAGAGTAGCATTATTTAAATCATGCATTTGATCTGATTTTGCCACCTAGACACTTTACTAGATCAGACTTCTAGCAGCTTTACATCTCCCAACGGTCTCTGAGAGTTCAGGTCAGGCCTTTACGTACTTATATTGTCATCTAGTTATAATATTAAAAGTTGTTTTCGAGATTAATTTTCATTGTACCACAGCTACGGGAAGTAAGGTATGAGTTTGCTTGTCCTTTGTGGTATACAACTGACCACTTCAGACTGGAAAATTTGTCTTCACTGACACTTAGCCTGTAAAGCTAATGCGTGCTTTTCTTTGCTGTGCACAGCAAATGTGCCAAGGAGTTTGTGCAAAAGGAATGATAGTGAATAGAGACGCTTCCTGTTTTCTACCCAAAACCAGAAATTGCAGGCCAAGGTATACTTCATTCTGTTAAAAATAAATATGTCATAAATTTTAAAACAAAGCATTGCTCTGAAATGAGAATTGAAATTCTTCATTTTGAAAGAACGTATTCAAGATTTTCCTGGCCTATTGATTTTGGCCAAATTTTTTTATTAATTTATTTGTTTAATGTAAAGTAGACATTGACATTTGTTTTCAGTAAGCTCAATCAGCTCATATCATATCTTAAGATGAAATGACTCCCCCTCTGCATGGCCTGTCTTCTTCTAGGTACCCGAGGTGGCTGAATTAGAAGCCTCCCTGTCAGGTGGATTCAACTATTAGCCTGTATCCTACATTTAGGGACTGGTATATTACTGGAATATTGTAATCATTTTACAAGAGGGATGGGGAATCTAAAACTCACAGCTTTCTAGAGTGGTTTCTCCAGGAGCCCCTCTCAGGCTTTTTTTCACTGGTGGTGATCTCAACAGAAAATTTTGTAATAGGCTGGTGTGTATATGTGTACCCGTGTGTAACACGAGTGAGGTTTGAGAGAACAAACACACGAAACAAGAGCACTGCAGGTTATTCATTATCTGGGTAATACAAGAGGAGGATAGTTAGTTGTTATAAGTTGGAAAAACACCCCCACCCCCACAAATGGCCATTACTTCCCAAAGGACCTAGTAACTTTTTCCTTTGTGCTACTTCCCATGCTCAGCCCCACTTGCCCCATGCCCATGCCCATGGAGGGGTAGGGGCTATCGGGGATAGCAGGGAAATCCTCACCAGGGGCAGATGTGTGGGCTCAGTGTGCTTCCCATCCTGGCATCTGTGGTGCCGGGCTCCGTCCTAGCGTGTGCCGTGCCTCGTCCTGACGCAGGAGTGAAATCAGACTCAAAGATGTACTGAGGGGTTATAAAGTTCTCGTGCGGATGGACCCCACTACCCCTGCGGTAAGAGCTGCTCCTGGATACTTTATTAAACATGTCACTACAAACATTTCCGCCAAATAAGATCTGCTACTATTTTATGTGCCCTTTATCAATTATTCTGAAATTAACATTATTTTCTGCAAGTTGTCTGTATGAGAAGAAATCATTAATTTCAGGAATACCTCACTCTGCAAGTCCATTTCACATGTGTGTGTGTTGAGAGAGAGAGAGAGAGACAGAGGGAGAGATTAGGAAGCTCAAGTGCTGCTGATACATTCCAAAATCATGTAACAAATCAAAGGACCATTTGACTGTGAAAGCAGTTGCCTTCTCACTTTATCCCTTAATTTAAAAACATTTTTAAAATTTCTTATTTCCCCCACTGGAATAATTTGTATGAAAAAATAAGACAGAAATGAAAGACAGAGATCTCACCCATGCACAGCTATTTGTTTTTAATTTTGCTTTTAAACTTATTTTTTTAAGCTACACTGTACCAGTTACAGAAAGTAATGCCTTCTCGAAGTGAACTTCCCACTGTAAACCATGCATAAGGTACCTGGACACAGCTCTCAGGAGTTTCTGTGTTTAAACAGTAGGTGGCACTGCTGTTTGTCTAGTCTTTATAGATCAACATTGTCAACTTGTATGTCATTTGCCTTTTCCACTTACCAATTCTATAGTACCCTTGATCTAGCCAAGGAGTCAAGCAGAAATCTGAAATGCAAATTTTTTCTAAATGAAAATAATAAAAAGATATGTTCAATATCGCCAAGGGATTAATTTGGGGAACAAACATTAATGAAAAAAACCACAAGAAATTATTATAAATCTGCAAATATAAAGCAGATCTTTGTCATATGTTGCAAGTTGTCTTAAAAAATTTCCTGGTAATCTTATGACCTATTGAACAAAACATGGGAATATTTAATTAAATTAGGAGCAGCCACAACAGAGATAGTGGTTTTGCTTTTTTGTCCTTTTTCTATTCTGTTTTTGCTTGATTATATTACAATATAAGCTGAAGCCAAAGACCTAAGTGACAATGAAGATTTTTGTCCATCAATCTAGAATTGCTCTTCGTTCTTTAATCTCTGCCAAATAAAGTTTTGTGGGTTTTTTTGCATCCCAAAGGTATGTATGTTGTTTGATATTAAGAGTTATCTTTCATAAATGTCCATCTAGTTCATAAAAGGCCCAGCCATTTTTTGCTTGTTTGTTTTCATATAACCAGACAGTTTCATGTTTTCCCTTTCAGTTTTTGACGTCTTGGGTGGGATTTGTCAAAGGAATGCAGGCATGGGCTACAGTCTAGACATGGATATTTGAGCTAGTCATTCTAAGCTGCCTCATTGGTCGGTGAAGAGAAATAGACGTTTTTGGAAAGGAATTCGTTTCAACCCAGAGTAGACTTTTAAAATATGTTAGGTGAATCATTCTCTAAAACTGCTTATTTTTCTTTATTGACATTGAGGAAGGCCTAGGAAAACCGCCTCAGAGGTAAATGATTGAAGTTTGGCAGAAGGAGCCTCTGTCCTGGCAATGGTGTAGACTTACTTGGCTGCCAGATGCTGAGTCCACCATCACTTGAAATTCTGAGGTGAGATGAATTACTGTCTGGAAGCCAGAGAGCAAAACCTGAAGTCATCCATTAAATGGAAAATTCAGTCAGAAAAATGAACACTATAGAAGGGGAATGGCACATTGCCGTTAAATCACTCCATCAGCTCACAATTTGTCTCATTTCACCTCCTAACACATTATTTGAAGTGCCTACTTTTGCACTCCATTATTTCCTCTTGTCACAGCCTGCGTGGATGCCCGTGTTCAGCTTCACAGCTGCCATGCCCATGAATAGGGTGCCCAGAGAAGTTGTGGATGCCCCATCCCTGGAAGTGTTCAAGGTCAGATTGGATGGGGCTTTGAGCAACCCAGTCTAGTGAAAGATGTCCCTGCCCATGGCAGGGGGGTGGACTAGATGATCTTTGAAGGGCCCTTCCAACCCAAACCATTCTGTGATTCTGTGATTTTGTGTTCTTCTCCCTACCACTTCCTCTGAAAACCCTTCTGTAGATGTTGGTTTGTTGTTTCTTCTGTTAAATACGAGTAACTGAGATTTGGTACAGGAATGAGATGAGATGTGTTTGTAAACAGTGACAGCTCATTATCATCAGTGTTGATGTGTAGGCTACCATTTCGTTTCCAAGTTCCAGTTCAATATGCAAGTAGTTAGGTTTTTTGCATCTTTCGTAGTCCCTAATACTTCAACTTTAGCAGACTGATAAGTTATTACTTTTTTTCCTGATTATGAAATGATCTTTTTTTCCCCAGTCCTGTACTACCTTTGCAAAAAAAATTTTTCATGTGGATTGGAAAAGTTTTTAAAATCTTTATACTATTGATAACTTCCCTGTATTGCATAATGTATTGTACATGCAGTCACCAGTAGCCATTATTTTTCATCAGTTTCTTTCATCTTCTTGCCATCTGTCCTCTTTTGACCCTTTATCTCACCTTCCCATTGTTTTATCTTGTCTTCTTTATATTTTACGTGTTAAACCAATTGAAAGCATGTACAGTGGCGAACTTAATGAGTATGCTTTTTATAAGTATTTCCCGTGTATCCACTACATTTTGCATGTGACATTTCTAAAAATAGAGTTGCTTGTAACAACACTTGTCTTTCAGTGACTAATTAAGCAAATTACCATTTGGTTTATTTTTTGTAATATGCTTTCTATCAATTTATTAGTCTTTGTTAAGCTTCTGTCTACATAGAAACACTGAAGAAAATTTCTCTAAATAAACTAATGGCGTGAATATGAAGTGGATTAGTTAGGCCTCATTAATTCTTTGTAGCTACTGATTCAGAATTAAAAAGGTCATAACTGAGTTTGTAGACATAAAAAATGTTTGCATGTTGAAATAGAGCTCTCAAAACATACTAAAGCATTTTAATCTTTGGTTTTTGTTTCTATGCATAGCAAGGTAAAAAGCACAGATAAGACTTTGATTCCTGTAATTAAGCAGGGATTTGATCTTTGTAAAAATACAAAAAAGTAATTGAGGAAAAAGCCAGACTCCCTGAGTAAGGACATGAATGATCACCTCAGCTTTTTTGGGCCACTTTTGATCTCCGTATGACCTATTGTCTGCCCTCCTTGCGAAAACACAGCTTCCTCTTTCCATGCAGGCAGTATGTGATGGATCGATACAGCCTCAAAGTGCTCACAAATGGCATTTAGTGACCAAAGTGACCTGTCCTCTCTTTCACCAGGTAACAGACCCCAAGAGCACCTGATCTCCTTGTACTATCTACAGATACTATTAACTACAGCATCACTAACATTTAACTTAAATGTCTCCTTTTCTGGCTGAGAC